AGGTTAGAGAAAGAGGGGAGAGGTTAGAGAAAGAGAGGGGGAGGTAAGAGAGAGGAGTGGTTAGAGAGAGGGGTATTAACTTGGAATTGGGATGATGAAATGAGACAGGATGGCGATACAGAAGGGAACAAACTAGGTGTAAGGAAGGGAATGGCAAAGTGGGAAGGGAAGTGATGGACCAGACCATGGATGGATGGGAGGTACTGAGATGGAAGGGAAGTAGAAAATTATACCATGAACCAGTCGAAGGACGGGAGGACACATGACAGGGAAGGGAGAGGTTGGTGAGAGAGAATGAAGTGAGGGAAATGTAACGAGGTAGACCAATGGGGAAAGGTATGAAAAGAAGTAGAATTTTCCTGGAGAAAGTGTTAGGGGTGTGTGGTAGAGACTGGGGAGGGTAGTGTAGTAGATGTAGGGGCTAGAGAAGGGAGTGTGGTAGACGTAGAGGCTAGGACGGGTAGTGCAGTAGAAGGCGTGCAGGCAGGAAGGCAAGATGGTAGACAGGGAGACAGGCAGGCAAGATGGAAGGCAGGCTAACCTGATGGCAGGAATCGTCTACTGGACGGACTGCAGCAGCATGTAGGTTTTATTGAAATAATATTTACACACAGACTATCAGTGTCAGGTTAAACAACGGGATGACCTCCACACAAGCAGAACTAGCGTCACTACAACTAGCTACCAGTACATTGAAAACATAGGAGGAGGAATAATATTTTGTGATTCAATGTATTCAAGCAATCGAAAACTTCTCCTGGAAGATCGACAGCAAGAGCCTCATACAACCAGTTATAAATAACCTAATAGCTGCACAGAGTAAAGGGTTTCGAATCTCCTTTGCATGGATACCATCACACATAAATATAACCCATCATAATGACACAGACACTGCAGCCAAATTAGCGTGTAACAAAGATCAAGTTGAATTAGGTCAGGGTATCCCCATCTCTGCTGTCAAAACTGTATTGTTCCAAACACTCAGGTCTCATAGGAGAGAAATTAATGACTCCCAACGACCTGAAAGCACCAACATAAAAGGTTTCAGATCTGAACAAATCATAACCTTATGTTTATGGGCAGCACAAAACGTCCACCAGACTGTGCGACACAGTGGTTGCCAGGATCAGGTTGGGTTACCGTTACCTGTGGCAGGTGGCTGCAGGTGACGGATCTCCCAATCCTGAGCACTCCAGGTGCAAACTCCGTGAGCAGGAACTGCGGCATGATCTCCCACACTACATCACCGAATGCCCTGTTATTAGACCATTCAGACCCGTTGGCATGAGGTACCTACAACTTTATAATTACTTCATTAACTCGTGTTCATGATGATATCCTCATAATGCACGCAGAGTTTGCCTATTGCAGAGTACTCATCACATGCCTCTGTATGACTAACCATCCTGTGTGGTGGGGAATTTAGCATCAAATAGCTAGCTTTTTTTTACACACTCTGTGCTCCCCTTCATATATAGTATGTTGTAGCTGCACAAATGCAGATGTACTTAAATGTTTTAGTAACAAAATGTAGGGGCTAGAGAAGGGGTGTGCAGAAAATTTAATAGCCTGGAGAAACCGATAGGAGTTTAGAGGAAGCATTTGTGCATTTAATTAGAACAAATTAAAGTGGAAAGTGTGTGGAAATATTACGTTAAAAGAAGAGATAGCATAGACCACAGTGAAGGAGGGACGAAGGGCACGTGGGGTGATAATAGGGATTAGTGTGGAGTATTTTACTTTATGTTACACGCATAGGTTAAGTGCTCACTAGTTACAGTTCTCTAAATGTTGAACTCTGAACATGATCTGTGTGAGTGTGTATTGTTCTCTAAATTAGTGCACTATGGTGCTTTAACAGTTCCATGTGAAACATTTGTTGAATTATAATTAACAAAGTCTAACTCAACTGCTTAGCAACATTCCCAATAGCAACATATTACCCCACTGGTCAATAGACTTCTTAATGGTATACTGAGTGACAAATTATTAGCTTCAGAATAATGCGCATCCTGTCTCCACTTGCCTAATTATGTCATGATAGCGTGAAGTATATGATCACCTGTCATAGCGTCCCCGTATGTCATGATAGCGTGAAGTATGTGATCACTTGTCATAGCGTCCCCGTATGTCATGATAGCGTGAAGTATGTGATCACTTGTCATAGCGTCCCCGTATGTCATGATAGCGTGAAGTATGTGATCACTTGTCATAGCGTCCCCGTATGTCATGATAGCGTGAAGTATGTGATCACTTGTCATAGCGTCCCGGTATGTTATGACAGCGTGAAGTATGTGATCACTTGTCATAGCGTCCCGGTATGTCATGACAGCGAGAAGTATGTGATCACTTGTCATAGCGTCCCGGTATGTCATGACAGCGTGAAGTATGTGATCACTTGTCATAGCGTCCCGGTATGTCATGATAGCGTGAAGTATGTGATCACTTGTCATAGCGTCCCCGTATGTCATGATAGCGTGAAGTATGTGATCACTTGTCATAGCGTCCCGGTATGTCATGATAGCGTGAAGTATGTGATCACCTGTCATAGCGTCCCGGTATGTCATGATAGCGTGAAGTATGTGATCACTTGTCATAGCGTCCCCGTATGTCATGATAGCGTGAAGTATGTGATCACTTGTCATAGCGTCCCGGTATGTCATGATAGCGTGAAGTATGTGATCACCTGTCATAGCGTCCCCGTATGTCATGATAGCGTGAAGTATGTGATCACTTGTCATAGCGTCCCCGTATGTCATGATAGCGTGAAGTATGTGATCACTTGTCATAGCGTCCCCGTATGTCATGATAGCGTGAAGTATGTGATCACTTGTCATAGCGTCCCGGTATGTCATGATAGCGTGAAGTATGTGATCACTTGTCATAGCGTCCCCGTATGTCATTATAGCGTGAAGTATGTGATAACTTGTCATAGCGTCCCGGTATGTCATGATAGCGTGAAGTATGTGATCACTTGTCATAGCGTCCCCGTATGTCATGATAGCGTGAAGTATGTGATCACCTGTCATAGCGTCCCCGTATGTCATGATAGCGTGAAGTATGTGATCACTTGTCATAGCGTCCCCGTATGTCATGATAGCGTGAAGTATGTGATCACTTGTCATAGCGTCCCGGTATGTCATGATAGCGTGAAGTATGTGATCACTTGTCATAGCGTCCCCGTATATCATGATAGCGTGAAGTATGTGATCACTTGTCATAGCGTCCCCGTATGTCATGATAGCGTGAAGTATGTGATCACTTGTCATAGCGTCCCCGTATGTCATGATAGCGTGAAGTATGTGATCACTTGTCATAGCGTCCCCGTATGTCATGACAGCGTGAAGTATGTGATCACTTGTCATAGCGTCCCCGTATATCATGATAGCGTGAAGTATGTGATCACTTGTCATAGAGTCCCCGTATGTCATGATAGCGTGAAGTATGTGATCACTTGTCATAGCGTCCCCGTATGTCATGATAGCGTGAAGTATGTGATCACTTGTCATAGCGTCCCCGTATGTCATGATAGCGTGAAGTATGTGATCACCTGTCATAGCGTCCCCGTATGTCATGATAGCGTGAAGTATGTGATCACCTGTCATAGCGTCCCCGTATGTCATGATAGCGTGAAGTATGTGATAACTTGTCATAGCGTCCCGGTATGTCATGACAGCGTGAAGTATGTGATAACTTGTCATAGCGTCCCGGTATGTCATGACAGCGTGAAGTATGTGATAACTTGTCATAGCGTCCCGGTATGTCATGACAGCGTGAAGTATGTGATCACTTGTCATAGCGTCCCGGTATGTCATGACAGCGTGAAGTATGTGATCACTTGTCATAGCGTCCCCGTATGTCATGACAGCGTGAAGTATGTGATAACTTGTCATAGCGTCCCGGTATGTCATGACAGCGTGAAGTATGTGATAACTTGTCATAGCGTCCCGATATGTCATGACAGCGTGAAGTATGTGATAACTTGTCATAGCGTCCCGGTATGTCATGATAGCGTGAAGTATGTGATCACCACTTATAGCGTCCCGGTATCTAACCACTGAAAAAAAAAGTTCTATGCACAAAGTAGCCTGGAATGTCTGCTTCTGTGATTACATAATCAGATATTCTGAGGTTCTGTGATAACAGGATTTAGAAGGATAGGATATATTCTAGGTAACCATCCCGTACTTTCTGTCTGGACATTACGTATTCACAGAGTATAATTGTCTATATATATTTCTTTCATATTCCTATTTTGCATATATAAATAATCTTCAAATATGGAAATTGTTTGCATATCAATTAGGTATATATTGAGGATCTTTTTTTTTCCCATGCTAGTTAGCTATTAATTCGTATACAGTATTTAAAATGGTGTTATGTTTATGATAACTATGCTGTAAAATGGCTTTTCAGTCATAACTAAATCATCTTTTAGCGTTCAACCCAACAGGATTATGCAATAGTAGAGTCAAACTTAACACAGATTGTATGCAGAGATTGTCTAAGAGACTATTCTTAACTATCTACCCTAAACAGTCAGGAACACAATTAATACAATATTCTTCACTTGCACAGCCACATAGCACAAGGACATCAGATTCCTTGACATGTATCTATATTTAATAGGAAAAATGCTTGTATAATCTAATCACAGGCCTCCGTTTGGAATTTTTTTCGATTGTCAGAGTTTTTTGCACCGAATCGAACTGACCTGGTTATGCTAAATTAAAAAATGACAATGATTTTTGCTCTGCTTTGGTTTTTTACTATTTGATTATATTTGGCAAAAACCTTGTCATTTGGATAATTCTTGGTTTTTAATTATAATGAAATTATAAGGTAATAAAAAAGATTAATAATGACAACAAATGGGAAAATTGTTTAACATAGGAAAATCCTCTGGAATATACATCAATGGGCACGATAAGTCGTGTTGAAGGATCTTGGCTTGTGTTTAGTAGCAGACAAGTCACGTTCAAGACACCAGCAGCAGTCCGCTAGCATGTTAATGTGCCAGCGACCGTGACACCTTCCACTGTACGACTGTCTTGGTGGCAGCTGCCCCCTTGTTCCCCACCGTCGTCTCCACTCTCCTCGGGGTGGCAGCTGCCCCCCTTGTTCCCCACCGTCGTCTCCACTCTCCTCGGGGTGGCAGCTGCCCCCCTTGTTCCCCACCGTCGTCTCCACTCTCCTCGGGGTGGCAGCTGCCCCCTTGTTCCCCACCGTCGTCTCCACTCTCCTCGGGGTGGCAGCTGCCCCCTTGTTCCCCACCGTCGTCTCCACTCTCCTCGGGGTGGCAGCTGCCCCCCTTGTTCCCCACCGTCGTCTCCACTCTCCTCGGGGTGGCAGCTGCCCCCTTGTTCCCCACCGTCGTCTCCACTCTCCTCGGGGTGGCAGCTGCCCCCTTGTTCCCCACCGTCGTCTCCACTCTCCTCGGGGTGGCAGCTGCCCCCCTTGTTCCCCACCGTCGTCTCCACTCTCCTCGGGGTGGCAGCTGCCCCCTTGTTCCCCACCGTCGTCTCCACTCTCCTCGGGGTGGCAGCTGCCCCCCTTGTTCCCCACCGTCGTCTCCACTCTCCTCGGGGTGGCAGCTGCCCCCCTTGTTCCCCACCGTCGTCTCCACTCTCCTCGGGGTGGCAGCTGCCCCCTTGTTCCCCACCGTCGTCTCCACTCTCCTCGGGGTGGCAGCTGCCCCCTTGTTCCCCACCGTCGTCTCCACTCTCCTCGGGGTGGCAGCTGCCCCCCTTGTTCCCCACCGTCGTCTCCACTCTCCTCGGGGTGGCAGCTGCCCCCTTGTTCCCCACCGTCGTCTCCACTCTCCTCGGGGTGGCAGCTGCCCCCTTGTTCCCCACCGTCGTCTCCACTCTCCTCGGGGTGGCAGCTGCCCCCCTTGTTCCCCACCGTCGTCTCCACTCTCCTCGGGGTGGCAGCTGCCCCCTTGTTCCCCACCGTCGTCTCCACTCTCCTCGGGGTGGCAGCTGCCCCCCTTGTTCCCCACCGTCGTCTCCACTCTCCTCGGGGTGGCAGCTGCCCCCTTGTTCCCCACCGTCGTCTCCACTCTCCTCGGGGTGGCAGCTGCCCCCTTGTTCCCCACCGTCGTCTCCACTCTCCTCGGGGTGGCAGCTGCCCCCCTTGTTCCCCACCGTCGTCACCACTCTCCTCGGGGTGGCAGCTGCCCCCTTGTTCCCCACCGTCGTCTCCACTCTCCTCGGGGTGGCAGCTGCCCCCTTGTTCCCCACCGTCGTCTCCACTCTCCTCGGGGTGGCAGCTGCCCCCTTGTTCCCCACCGTCGTCTCCACTCTCCTCGGGGTGGCAGCTGCCCCCCTTGTTCCCCACCGTCGTCTCCACTCTCCTCGGGGTGGCAGCTGCCCCCTTGTTCCCCACCGTCGTCTCCACTCTCCTCGGGGTGGCAGCTGCCCCCCTTGTTCCCCACCGTCGTCTCCACTCTCCTCGGGGTGGCAGCTGCCCCCTTGTTCCCCACCGTCGTCTCCACTCTCCTCGGGGTGGCAGCTGCCCCCTTGTTCCCCACCGTCGTCTCCACTCTCCTCGGGGTGGCAGCTGCCCCCTTGTTCCCCACCGTCGTCTCCACTCTCCTCGGGGTGGCAGCTGCCCCCTTGTTCCCCACCGTCGTCTCCACTCTCCTCGGGGTGGCAGCTGCCCCCTTGTTCCCCACCGTCGTCTCCACTCTCCTCGGGGTGGCAGCTGCCCCCCTTGTTCCCCACCGTCGTCTCCACTCTCCTCGGGGTGGCAGCTGCCCCCTTGTTCCCCACCGTCGTCTCCACTCTCCTCGGGGTGGCAGCTGCCCCCCTTGTTCCCCACCGACGTCGCCACTCTCCTCGGGGGAACCAACACACACGCCACCCGAGCCAACACAATCTTACTGACCTACGTGACCTCGGAGTCTTAAGATTCTTCAGGTTTTCAGCAATGGGGACATATTCTGAATTTCAGTGGTTTCTAAGATAGTTATTCACTGCTAATATGAAGGCTTGCCATGCATATCCCTCTGTCTCATTCATTACTCTCTCTAACTGTTCATCCTTCACTAGGTTTCTAATTTCAGGGCCAGCAGAAATGCCTGCTACAAAATTTATAGTCACTTTTATGTAGAAATTTCAGCGTTATGAAAATAAATTCCTGACTTTTTCTCGTTAACGGACTTGAAATTTTTTCATCAATCCAAGTTGTGAATGAATAGGCGGAGGCAGAATTTGACAAGGATTGACAAGAGCCAAGAGTTCACCCCCCACGTTATATGAACCACGTTGAAGGCCTTCTCAAGATGCAGCCCGTCCTCCAAACAAAGATCCAAAAGTGATTCCATGCACCCGCCAAACCCCCTGTTTATGAATGAAAAGCGGCTTACACACGACTCACAACTGCTGACGTTCGAACATATCCGGAACAAGTGCTTCACTGACTAATTTTGTTCGAACCACAACGCTGTAAATGCTTCACCCACGTACTACAAATACAAATAATCGCCAACAGAACCTAAACACCTAACCTCACCTATGCCTATATATATGCACAATATGCTAATATATTATAATATTAATTTATATATGTAAAAATTCCTGTTTTTGAATGAACAGCATGTAAAAAGTTATGAATGCATTTGTGGGGTCGACAGCTGGGTTGAATGAACTTGAGTCGAGGACGGGTTGGTAAATGCTTAGCCTTAGTAAAAAAATAATATAAATAGCCTAAACTACTCTAGACTTTTGAGATGCATTTTAAGGTGTCAATAAACATACTTGAACTTGAAGTGCTTCACCCACGCACTTCAAAGACAAATCATCGCCAAAACAACCTAAAGACCTAACTCACGCCTAACTATACACAGAACTTTAATGCATAATATATATAAATATATTATATATTAATATAAATATATACACATATAAATAAGAACAAATGTATTAATACGAAATTCGGAACATTGGTGAATTCGAGGTGTTGTGGGGAGGGGTTGTTGGGCCGCCGCTTTATCGAGCCTGGTGTGAGGACAGGTTGGAGGCCGCGTCTTACAACCACTGAAACAGGCGATGAGGCGTTAGAACAATTATCAGTCTCCGTGGTGTAGTGGTAAGACACTCGCCTGGCGTTCCGCGAGCGCTATGTCATGGGTTCGTATCCTGGCCGGGGAGGATTTACTGGGCGCAATTCCGTAACTGTAGCCTCTGTCTAACGCAACAGTAAAATGTGTACTTGGATGAAAAAACGATTCTTCGCGGCAGGGGATCGTATTCCAGGGACCATAGGATTAAGGACTTGCCCGAAACGCTACGCGTACTAGTGGCTCTACAAGAATGTAACAACTCTTGTATATATCTCAAAAAAAAAAAAAAAAAAAAAAAAATTACCGTATGAGAAGGCCGCATTTTAACATGATATATAAAGCACTACATACACAAATTTCAGTGAGAAACAACATGATTCATCCTCACAAAGTTATATTAAAGGCATCAAAGTTCAGGAAGTCTCCCTTGAGCCTCATGCTGCGACCAGAGACTCTCGTAAGACTAGTGAGTCGTGTCAATATGCTTCAACATCATAAATCTTTAATACGCAACAAAGGGTTCACACATCCCGATAATGCACTAGGAAGTGATGTGGTGGAGGCCGACTCCATACACAGTTTCAAGTGTAGATGTGATAGAGCCCAATAGGCTCAGGAACCTGTACACCAGTTGACTGACAGTCGAGAGACGGAACCAAAGAGCGGAAGCTCAACCCCCGCAAGCACAGCTAGGTGAGTACATCCACTTGCTGAATATATAGTCTCGTACCATCCTGTCAGACGTAGTGCACAACAGCTTAAGTCAATTGGAGTCTGTGTAATTTTATCGTATATCTTAGTTGTTGTTATTTAAACTGTTTTCACAGATTTAAATTTTATGCTAATTGTTTTTCCACCGTAACGTTCAACTTCCAAGTCATAAGCACAAAGTTTCTCAAACAAATATCCCCATTAATTTTTGCCAACAATATGAAGATTAGTTAGACCAAATGGGAATAAATTCTACTGTAAACACATCATACAGTAAATCTCTAACTCAACTGTTTAATACAGAATAATAACTATTATAATGCAGCATATATTGAAAATGATAACTGTAAAATACAGGATATATACAGAATGATAACTCTAAAATACAGTATATATACAAAATGATAACTGTATAATACAGCATATATACAGAATGATAACTGTATAATACAGCATAAATAGAAAATATAGTTAGAGAAGGCCTCAGTTAACCAAATAACAAGAGAAGTGAATATCTGACACAACTAACTCAGGTGAGACTCTGTTACGAACCCGACTCAATCGTCGGGGCATGGAGCAGCGACGTCAACGCCATCTGTGAGTCTGCTCCCTAAACCCCCACTAAATGGACGACGCCATCTGATGGTGGCAGTATGATACTTGCAAGAGACGCTAGATTCCTGCCTTGGTCAGCCCGAAGAGTCGCTGTAGCTGACCTCTGGTGAGGTGGCGCCTAGAAAATCAGCGCCATCTATTGTGGGAGGAGTTGTATGTTTATGTCAGAGTCCGTAAGTGGTATTTCCTAGTGTCCCAGTGTACTGATGATGTGACTGTATCCACAGAGGCGACGTAGGGCTGCAGTGGTACGAAGACAGTCAGTCTACCCAGGGCAGCCTATTATCTCTCTACTTTATTCTGCTTTACGTGAGCAGTGAGCCGCCGCCGAAGAGGAACTGTGTAGTGTTCTACTGTCTGCCTGTGAAGTGACAGTGACAGACTTCGGTGTATCCCGGGACTGGCTAGAGGAAGTGACTACCGACAGTAAGGTGCTACGGAGGAGTGTAACTAGCTCGTTGCAAGAAGCTCCTGCCAGGGGGTTCGATACCCTTGTATTTGTTCGTGTAGAGGCCCAGCAGCGCGAGGCTGATGTTCTCTGCCAGCACCAGGCTGGAGAGTGAGTGTGGGCGTTCACAAGGAGCACCTAGTGAGACTGTGTATATGCTGGCCCCTGGCTAGGGTAGACTCGTTGGTGTTTCCCAGTACTGGTTGAGGACGGTACTGTGTGTTGAGGAAACATGGATGTTGCAAGGCTGCATCGCGTTAGCATCGAGGAGCGCTTAGTGTCCTATGAGAGCGACACATGTGTATATATCAGTGTAGTAATACTTCGTATGTGATTCTATATAAGGTGATGGGATAGTGATAATATGTGAATATATTGATAAAGGATGAAGTGTCGTATTCCTTTCAACTCCCCCCTCCCTTGTGTTTTACTTGCATTACCAAGCTCACTCCTTGGAAGCCACTACTAACTTGGGGTCGGATACTAGTACTTTGGTTCCTCCAGCAAAGAACCCGGGTGCGACCCAAAGTGGCCGTAACAGTCTCGCGTAACCACGAGTGAACTTAATGACCCTCACCTGATATTATTTGAGCGATCCTCACTAATTGTTCGAGAGCTGTGGGGAACCGACTTGTGAGATTTATATTTATTTAATTTATTTGAATTTATATAGAATTTATGTTTACATTAATTTATATATATTTTGATAGCAAATTGTGTGATGGTTTAAGTGGGCTGTATTTCCTCGAATTCCCACAAATAAATCTCTTACAGATTTTTTTTTTATTTATGTAGTCATTCATAATTATTGGTTATCAGACATTCACTATAGTATTAAACTACATATATTAGTCATGAAAATAGGGAGGCCTTACCTTACTGTATGGTAGTGGGCCTAGTCAACCAGTATGAACACGGAAGAATAAGCCAATCGATCCACTTTGTGGGTGTGGCTGGCCTCCAACTAATGACCTAGAGTTCTGGGATTAATTCTTGATTTTACTTCAATTGTTCCTGTCAAAGGGCACTTGCAATAATAACAGTAAATCTTTATATATGATGGCTATATTGGTAATTTATTATAAGATAAGGACCAAGGAATAATTACCTGGGTTATGTCGCTGCCGCTTGACCTAACCGGAAAGTAATCCTATCTACCTAACATTACTGGCCAGGAATGACTAGATAAGATTTTGGAAAGACACTTCCCTTGTTTAGATGATGACTGCGTGTATTTTTTTTTCAGGGATATTCCTGCGCGGGCCCTAAGCCTCTGGCTGGCCCACTGCGCGGGCCCTAAGCCTCTGGCTGGCCCACTGCGCGGGCCCTAAGCCTCTGGCTGGCCCACTGCGCGGGCCCTAAGCCTGGCTGGCTGGCCCTAAGCCTGTGGCAGGCTGGGCGGGCCCTAAGCCTCTGGCCGGCCCACTGGGCGGGCCCTAAGCCTCTGGCAGGCCCACGGGCCCTAAGCCTCTGGCTGGCCCACTAAGTGTTGCTTGTTTCTGTTTTACTTGGGCGGAGTATGAGTAATTATGACTCGTATGGTCGCTTCAGTAAGATTTTGCCATATGTGTTTAACAACTTCTACTGCTCTGTAACGACTTCGTGTTGATGAGGGAAGCACTAATTTACTCTCCATAACACTTAGTCCAAGGGAGTATTAATGGCGCTGTTCTGCTGCAGCGACTCTGGTCTAACAACCCTGGAAACACAAACCGAAACTGTCTCTATTTTCCGCTTGTTACAACTTGTAATAAAGTTGTTACATCTTGGCTTAACGTGTTTATGACGTATTAGAACGTTGTTACAACTTGCTATATTGGTTGTTATAACTGGTTAGGTGTTAAAACTTGTTCGAACGTTGTACCAACGTCGTAGTTTCGGTGTGTGTTTGGCGGGAATATGACTGACCTCCACCACTGAGGCCCTGGCTCTCCATGTCCAGATGTCAGTAAGTGTAGGAAAGGTCACATTTACTCTATTCTGGTACTAATAATTAAGGTGATTCAAGTTAGATGTTTATATGCAGGCGATGAGTCACAATAACGTGGCTGAAGTATGTTGACCAGACCACACACTAGAAATTGAAGACACTGGATGTTTATATGATGTTTAAGGTCCAAAGTCTGCTGTATTAAGAATAATTCCCAACAGAATTGGCTTTTGAAATTAATAGCGCCGTGTGGAAATTATATCTAGTTTTGTATGAGAGGTTAATTTCCACTGCGTCTTCTATGAGTGAATTTGTATTATTACAATCCAGCAGCAATATTATCTCCCTATTGTATTGAATATTAGTAAATAGTGTCGGCTTTCCCGACAGAGCCTCGCTAATTGTAAGAAAGCCTCATTATTTGTTAGGGAGTCTCACCAATTGATAGAGACTCACTAATTGTTACAGCCTTACTAATTACTAAAGAGCCTGACTAACTGTTAGAAAGCCTCACTAATTGTTAGAGAGCCTTACTGTTAGAGAGCCTCACTATTTGTTAGCAAGCCTCACTATTGTTAGAAAGTCTCACTAATTGTTAGCCTCACTAATTGTTAGAGAGCCTCACTAATTGTTAGAGAGCCTCACTAATTGTTAGAGAGCCTCACTAATTGTTAGAGAGCCTCACTAATTGTTAGAGAGCTTCACTAATTGTTAGAGAGCCTCACTAATTGTTAGAGAGCTTCACTAATTGTTAGAGAGCCTCACTAATTGTTAGAGAGCCTCACTAATTGTTAGAGAGCTTCACTAATTGTTAGAGAGCTTCACTAATTGTTAGAGAGCTTCACTAATTGTTAGAGAGCTTCACTAATTGTTAGAGAGCCTCACTAATTGTTAGAGAGCTTCACTAATTGTTAGAGAGCTTCACTAATTGTTAGAGAGCTTCACTAATTGTTAGAGAGCTTCACTAATTGTTAGAGAGCCTCACTAATTGTTAGAGAGCTTCACCAATTGTTAGAGAGCCTCACTAATTGTTAGAGAGCTTCACCAATTGTTAGAGAGCCTCACTAATTGTTAGAGAGCCTCACTAATTGTTAGAGAGCCTCACTAATTGTTAGAAAGTCATAATTAACATATGAATAGACCTCCATCATTTTCTAACTGTAACAGCCAGCAAGGCCCGGCAACACAACAGGCAGCCAGCGTGGCCCAGCAACACAACAGGCAGCCAGCGTAGGCCCAGCAACACAACAGGCAGCCAGCGTAGGCCCAGCAACACAACAGGCAGCCAGCGTAGGCCCAGCAACACAACAGGCAGCCAGCGTGGCCCGGCAACACAACAGGCAGCCAGCGTAGGCCCGGCAACACAACAGGCAGCCAGCGTGGCCCGGCAACACAACAGGCAGCCAGCGTAGGCCCGGCAACACAACAGGCAGCCAGCGGGGCCCGGCAACACAACAGGCAGCCAGCGTGGCCCGGCAACACAACAGGCAGCCAGCGTGGCCCAGCAACACAACAGGCAGCCAGCGTGGCCCGGCAACACAACAGGCAGCCAGCGGGGCCCGGCAACACAACAGGCAGCCAGCGGGGCCCAGCAACACAACAGGCAGCCAGCGGGGCCCAGCAACACAACAGGCAGCCAGCGGGGCCCAGCAACACAACAGGCAGCCAGCGGGGCCCAGCAACACAACAGGCAGCCAGCGGGGCCCAGCAACACAACAGGCAGCCAGCGGGCCCAGCAACACAACAGGCAGCCAGCGGGGCCCAGCAACACAACAGGCAGCCAGCGGGGCCCAGCAACACAACAGGCAGCCAGCGGGGCCCAGCAACACAACAGGCAGCCAGCGTGGCCCAGCAACACAACAGGCAGCCAGCGGGGCCCGGCAACACAACAGGCAGCCAGCGGGGCCCGGCAACACAACAGGCAGCCAGCGGGGCCCGGCAACACAACAGGCAGCCAGCGGGGCCCGGCAACACAACAGGCAGCCAGCGGGGCCCGGCAACACAACAGGCAGCCAGCGGGGCCCGGCAACACAACAGGCAGCCAGCGGGGCCCGGCAACACAACAGGCAGCCAGCGGGGCCCGGCAACACAACAGGCAGCCAGCGGGGCCCGGCAACACAACAGGCAGCCAGCGGGGCCCGGCAACACAACAGGCAGCCAGCGGGGCCCGGCAACACAACAGGCAGCCAGCGGGGCCCGGCAACACAACAGGCAGCCAGCGGGGCCCGGCAACACAACAGGCAGCCAGCGGGGCCCGGCAACACAACAGGCAGCCAGCGGGGCCCGGCAACACAACAGGCAGCAACACAACGGGGCCCGTGGCCCGGCAACACAACAGGCAGCCAGCGGGGCCCGGCAACACAACAGGCAGCCAGCGGGGCCCGGCAACACAACAGGCAGCCAGCGGGGCCCAGCAACACAACAGGCAGCCAGCGGGGCCCAGCAACACAACAGGCAGCCAGCGGGGCCCAGCAACACAACAGGCAGCCAGCGTAGGCCCGGCAACACAACAGGCAGCCAGCGTGGCCCGGCAACACAACAGGCAGCCAGCGTAGGCCCAGCAACACAACAGGCAGCCAGCGTAGGCCCAGCAACACAACAGGCAGCCAGCGTGGCCCAGCAACACAACAGGCAGCCAGCGTAGGCCCAGCAACACAACAGGCAGCCAGCGGAGGCCCAGCAACACAACAGGCAGCCAGCGTAGGCCCAGCAACACAACAGGCAGCCAGCGGGGCCCAGCAACACAACAGGCAGCCAGCGTAGGCCCAGCAACACAACAGGCAGCCAGCGTAGGCCCAGCAACACAACAGGCAGCCAGCGTAGGCCCAGCAACACAACAGGCAGCCAGCGTAGGCCCGGCAACACAACAGGCAGCCAGCGTAGGCCCAGCAACACAACAGGCAGCCAGCGTAGGCCCAGCAACACAACAGGCAGCCAGCGGGGCCCGGCAACACAACAGGCAGCCAGCGTAGGCCCAGTGTGAGGAGGTGGTTCACCAGCTCACTTACAATAGTGCTCTTATGCCTGTGGGAGCCAGTACACTTGTTAAGTGCACTTGTTAAGTGGGCGGACTTAAGTTTTGTACCAGCAACCGAAACATCTAGTGTTTGGGCTCATGTGAGAGCCCCAGTCATCAGCAGTCCATAAATGTTACCCTGGCCGGGGTGGCATGTCTGTGGACAGTGCTAGAGCTGATAGCATCATCTCATTGTATGGCATGGAGCCAGACAACTTTGCGCGCGAACGCCTAGGCCGCAGGCGTGGGGTGAAACATGTGGGGTCCCAAGCTCGCTGGCCACTTGAGTGGTTGTCATGGAGACAGCCGCCATCTTAGTAAACATCTTGAGCCGCCATGTTGGTCGGCCATCTTGGAGCTGCCCTAGGGGCTATGCTACACCGTCGCTGATTGGATGAGAGGGGTAGGCCGCTGTATGCCTTCCTCTCATTGGTTATTTCGAGAAGGACGCGGGAATAGCCGTTGTGTAGCATCATTCTGAACTCAGCCGCCACCTTGTCAAGACGTTCCTGTACTCAATTCGGCCAAATTGATGTATAGGGCGTCGTGGTGGCTGGACTACAACTGCTGATGCTTCCTGCTTCACCTACGACATCGGTCGTCACAGAATCCGGCCGAAGTCGTCGCTTGGAGGGGTTTAAGACATTATTGTATGCAGGGGGTAGAGGTACAGTGATCTGGGATCGTGGGGGAATGTGCATACGAGCAGCAACAGACTCGTAGATCCCATACCAGTGATGATTAGACTTGCTAGTGCTCTGTAGCAGTCGATGGGAACGGGGAAATTCGTGTCAGTGTTAAGGCAATTTCCCGTGTTTGTACTACGGTCAGGAACTACCGCCGCCTACGCCACCCGGAGCGAGCCAGCCACCTATAGCGGGGTGCCTGATGTATGGGAATGGTGTGTAAAGCCGGCAGTGTGAATGAGTAAGTACTTATGTGTGTATTTCGGTGATTAGTAGTCTCTAAAGCTTGAATTCGAGGTCAAGTGTTCCGTCACATTGTCACGCAGCACCTGTTCAGGTGGAGTGAATTGTGGGCGAGGAGATTAATCACCTGTGATGTCATCTTGTCAGTCCAGAGGGACTTAAGTCTAGTGTACACAGACGTACAGTGTGTGTGTGTGTGTGTGGGTACACACGGGAACACAGAATATACATAGATTAGCCAAGGACTGAGAAGATGTCCATGTAATAAATTCTTTTATTTCATTGTGGTAATCATTTTTGATCGTCCGTGGGACGGAGTGATATCATTTCCATGTGTGGTCTTGCAGGTGTGGAATTCCAACACTGAGCGCTCAGGTATGTGTAACGCCAGTGATTCCTGGCAATGATTATTGTGGAGTGTGCCACAGTGTGGCTTAAATTTCTTGTAGTGTTCCCAGGGCCGTGACAAGTGTGATTTATATAAATATATATATTGTGGTTGCAGTATTAATTAACGTAATTTTGGTGAGGTTTGGTGAGTGACGAGGCCGTCTAGAGAGACCGCCCCCGCTCTGTCGAGTAACGTAACTCTCGAGTGTTTATCGGCATGCGTGACCGATAAATCACTCACCCATGTGATTTAAGGAGTGTGAGATTCTCCTTAGTGTTCCCAATAACGTTTGATAGCTGTAGGCTACATGTGTCAGCAATAATTATAATTATATATATATATAATCGTAGTGTCACGGTGCCCAGTGTTAATGTGTTATTTACTGTGTGGTGATTGTAATATAGTGACCTATGTTCTAGGGGTCATTTGCAGCAGTAAGTAAGTGTGTGCAGTATCCTAATATTTGGAAATTAGAGTACTTGCCGTGTGTGTTATTGCAAAGGGGGTTGTTATTTGATGGTGATTGTTGCTAGTGTTGAGCAATCACCGTATGTGATTGCAGTTCAGTAAAACCATTGTGGGGCAGTGTTCTAGAGGGTTCATGTCCTGTAGGTTATTTTACTAGGTTCTGCAGTATTGTCATTGCAACCGGATTGTAACGTAAATCACT